AATGAAAATTTATAATTTCTCATGCTTGTTTGAATTTAGAGTTTAAGAAGTAAAAGTAAAAAAATACAATATTTTTAGAGAAAAAGAATAATTGAATTTAAATAAAATGTAGTGCACAGATGGAGTATTTTGCAATACTTGTAATTATGCAGCATGCTCTGTTTGCATAACCTAATGGTATGAGTTTAAGCATTCTTTGTATGATGCAATCAGTTTTAATTCATGCGATTTGTTTATTCTTTAGCAGAATTGATGCAGTGAGGAAACAAATTGGTCCAATTTGTTATTTTGGTAATTAGCACTAGATATATCATTAATTATATAATTAATATTAATTTAAATTGGTAAAAATTATTAAAAAATCTAAAAACATCTGAGTCCTCCATTGCTTAAATATTACGAATTCAATAATTTAGTTTATAAAAAGCAGCGGTTTCAATTGAAAAAAATTGATTTAAATAAAAAAGTAAAAATATCATGACATTTTTTAAACCCTGTAAGATAATACGAGAAAGCTTATCTTGCAGATGGAATGTTGTACAGCATTATAAAGGCTAACCTTGAAATTTTTCGAAGATAATAATGCATCCTTGGATGTTTTTGATGTTTATTTATTTTCTGATACATCTACAAAAAGCAAAGTTAGGACAATGTATTAAGCTATTAGCATTCAAACAATACAGATAATTTCCATAATCACACGAGTTATTTTTTTGTTGTTGTTTTGTTCACTTTGAAAATATGCTTTTAAACAACAGGATTAAATAAGAAAATCTTATAACTTCCACCATTTTAATATTAATATGACAAAATCTGACAAAAAATAATTTTGTGTAGAATTCAAAATGAACTGAGTAAATTTTCATTCTTCAACGCCATGTGGAAAAAATATGAATTTTGTGTTTTATTCCATGCAGAAACTAAAAAATTAAGCAATTATTATAGTCGTTGCGACTGTTTTGAACTTCGATTTGTGAATAAATTTCTATTTGATTTGTGTTGTATTTTCATGGTAAACAAATAAATCACACTGAAAATTTTCCAATTTAGTTGATAAGAAAGGGATAATGCTGCAATTTCATAATTTACAACAAAGACAGGTCTACGTTTATGAATTCAAAACTCACTCTACTAATCAAGACACGTAGTTTCCTTATCAGCTACATTGATTTATTCTGTTTTATTTTCAATGACTTAGAGAAAATCTCATAATCTTTGAAAAAATAATTAAGATTTAGATACATAATAAAACAATTATTAATATATATATAAAAAGAACATTATATAAGGTTAAAATAAATTTTTAAATTAAAGAAATTTTGTCAACCATATCTAACGTATTAGTAAAGGATGCTTTGTTTGAAAAAGAAGCTTAACGCAACCAACTAATCAAGCAATTTGACTTCTTTTTTTGATAATAAGTTGTAGGATATTTATTCAACATATTATTTTTTAGAGTGATTTGGTTAACAAAAGATTACTTTTTTACTTTTCATTAAATTCAGTAGTTAGATATAAAGGTTTTGTTTCCAATTTTGTTCTCACTTCAGTTGTTTCTCTATTAGTACTTAATATTTGCTCCCGTCTATGAGGCGAACATTGGTAAGTACAATTTTATATGAATTTAGTACCTCATATTAAACTTATCAATGACATTTATGAGTTGAAATAAAAATAATTTTCATTTATGAAATATTTTTCAGTTCAATTTATAAATAATAATGACCCGTAACTAAACTTTGAATATAATTATTATAACATATCGAATTATTTTCTCATATTATTATAAAAAATGTGATTTCAATATGGTAAGTTCAATGTTTCAGTTTAGAACCTTAATTCTGCCTTTTCATCGCCATTACGATTTTCATTATCTGAAATTAAAATAAAATTAATGATTAGGAATATGAATATAAATATAATAATGATAAGTATATAATTGATCACTGTATTTTTGTTTTATATTGTAGTTGAAAATTTTTTATGATGAGTCCATGGGGCGAATTTATAAATCTTCCAAGGAGCGTATCTAAGACTATGTACGCCACTGAGATAAACACTATTTCACTATTTCCTTCGCTTTATTTTAGTTACTTATTTCTTAAAAATTTTTGACAAGTTTTTTTTAAGGAAATTTTGATTATTACTGAGCGTGAACAACCTTTTTCTATCATATTTTTGAATAAAATAGTGTTTAACATTTGAATACATTCCAAAAACATGACAAAATCTGAGATACATATCTCCACTATAGTATTGCAAATTATAACAAATATATTATATTTATAAATATTAAAATTAATCAAAATGTTGCGTTATTGCCATAGATGATACAGTTATTATTTATGAACCGAAATCGATGTCTATGAATTAATCGACTTATTTTAATTATTTAGCTTTGTTTAGGAAATCAAAAAACCTTCAATTGTTAAAAAAAAAAGGAAAGAAAGAAGTACGTTTAATGTGTGACATTATTGTTTGCTCTTTCAAATTTTTTTTCGACTTTGTATTTTTCCGCGTGGAGTTTACGCGCAATTAAATCTGCATGAGCTAATTTCTATTAAGCCTAAATACATGTATTTTATATGTTTTAATATTCTAAACAACTATAAAATAACAATCAACATCTGTAAACTAATTATAACAAGATACTGAAATATTGTTATTCAACGAATCACGTAGTTTACAACAAATTTTCAACTGGGAGATTGAAATCAAAGGAGAATGTGTATATTATAAGCTTGTTCTAATGTGGGGAATATCTCTCATTATAGGGTCAGTGTCTCGGTATCACGAAGAGAACTTAAATCGATTCTTTGATTGGTATTCTCAGTAAACACGATTCATAGAATAAAACAGAGGATATCTCTTTTGATCACTATTCGGCGCCAAGGGCACGGCCAATCCCCAAACCGAAGCTATTACCCATGTAAATATTGCAGTTGGCGTAATTTACTTTCACTGTTATATCTGATGGAAGTACCTATGCACACCAAAACTGACCGAAAGATTTATTTTGTAATGGATTTCCCATCCTGTAGTCCAATTTTTGATAAGTTTATTCAAAATTTGATTTCGCAGTGCTTGTTTTGAGTTCATTCAACTTGAGTTCTCAGGCAGACTTTAATTTGAGTTTGATTAAAATTAAAAGCTGCAAACTAAGTAATAAACTAAGTATTAAAAGTTTAAATAACTGATTAAAAAGAAGAGTTTGGCAAATTTCAGTTGTCATAAGTTATTTTCGCTTAAAAAAATAATGATTTTGTAATTGGTTCTGAATGTTTATATGAGTACTTCAATTGGAGATAGGAAGTTTGGCACCTATTCGATTCAAGAACCATAAAAAAATACCTCATTATTATTAACACCCATAAATTGGTAATAATACTACTGTTGTTCTGCTAATTGGAGCTTTAGTACATTGTAAAAAATGGCGGATCAAATTACGGTAAAATGTATACCGCAATTTAAGGTGCGATATTTTTTACTGTAAAATCCATTTTTACCAGAAGATGCTATGGATCAAATAATCTGATATAACGTAATTTTTACAGTAACAATTACCACAAAATCACCAAATCATTCTAATTAACTACATATTTCTGTAAAAATTACCGTGTTATATTTTACGGTAAGCTGGATTTTACGAATGTCATCCTATATGTATTTTATACCGTAATTTGATCCGGAACTTATACATTGTAATCGATAGTTAATGAGTAGTGCTTTAACAGTTTTTTATGGTCAACCAAAACGGGTAAATATCAAAAATTCATTGATAAAATTAAATAAAAACGGATAATTTTTTTAAAAATTTTATCAGTTGCTCTTAAACTATTACGGAAAAAAAATTATTAAAATATATCAGTAAATGTCATAGAATTCTCAAGTTTTCTACACAATACCTAGACTTTAAATTATATTTTATGCAAAGTAGGACAAAACCTAAAAATTTTTTTTTCAGCTAAAAACTTTTTAGATTTCTTCTATGATTAGAAATGATCAAAAATAGAGACAAAAGATTTTTTTAATCTATTAATACTAATTGTTAAACCCCTACCAAGACTAGAAAACTTCGACTTAAAGCTTAAAAAACCACAACAGATAAATTTTATATGATGAAATTGTCAAAATTATTATTGATTAGATTTTTCTAAGCTAATTGCATTGAGATGAATAGCTTTTTTTTCTTCTTTACATTGGTCAGTTACTAAAAATGCCATTTTATAATAAATCTATTTGTAATTTTTTTTTACTTCCATAACTTCAAATAACCTTTCGTGTAAAAAAAATCTAGATTTAATAACTAATTTAAAGGAGCTATGAATAGCGTAAGTAGGGTAATTAAGGTAATAATTAATAAGTAAGATAATTAAGGATACGAGTTACTTCACCCATGATTTTGCAAGCTTTCTTTTAAATTATTAATTTTAGAATTAAGACACTTCTATGCTGTTATAGAAATAAATCAGTGCAGGGATGATTCGAGTTTTAAAATATTTTTTTATTTGGAAATAGTAAATAGTTAATAATTTAATTATATATAAAAAAAAATATACACTTGGAGAAAAACTAGAATGTGATAAAAAGATAATTCAAATAAAGACTTATAATATGATTTAAAAAATGCACAATTTGTGTCAGCTGAAATAAATGGAAATTAAATTGTAAATTTACAAAATGGCGGTAAAATTTTGTTAAATTTCCGATTCTAATCAAATGATTGTTGTTGCAATAGGGTTATAAAAACTTAACGAACGCAATATCCCAAAACGAAGTATTTCTGCTTTCCCCGTAGTACGCGAGGCTTCTCAAGCAAAAAGCGTAACATGTAATTACCCCAACTTGACTTAACAACTCCCCTACTTTTTTAATTCTTTGCATTTGCATGTTTGCACATGCACACGTTTTCTGTACAAGTGCATGTGCAGTTTTACCGCAATTAGGTATGAGTAAAAGTAAAATTTAACACGAGACACTAATTTTAACTTCCTTTTTAGTGAAAATCAAATAATCGAAGAAAAAATTCTCCACAAATGATGTCATGCTCGGAAAAGAAGGAAAGTTCTGTTAAAGTATGTGAACTTGTGACTAAGTTTATATAGTGACTAACAGGAAGTGTGGCATTACACATTTTGATTAAAATCGAAGTATTTAAATTCACCAGATTAAATATTTCGATTTTATTACTTTAATTTTTTTTTCATTTTACTTTTATTACGAAATGATAAAAGTGTTGTTTGTTTTTATGGTCGTGTAATTTAATTTACTTTATTTTATATCGAAAACAAATAATGCTGATTAGGATTTAAATCAGTCTTATTTAATACACTGTAAAAAATTGTACATCAAATTACGGTATAACTTTATCAGCACTTGGATGCATCATCCATAAAATCCATTTTTACCGTAAAATATTATACTGTAATTTTTGGAGCAATATATAGTTAATTAGAGTGATTTGTTGTTTTTAAGGCAATTATTACTGTAAGACCCGTAACATGTTCCGGAAAGAATGGATTTTACAGTTAAAAGTCCTTGCTAAGTGTCGGTATTTTTTACCGTAATTTGATCCTGAGTTTTTATGGTGTAGTTTGAAACTGAAAAGGAATATTCTGGTTTCGTTTACATTAAGAAAATAAAACTCACAAACGATAAACATTTTTAATAAATAAAGATAACTACAAAATAATGAGAATTCTATTTAAATTTCGGAAATACTGCTACTGTTTTTAATTGCTGTTTTGTATTCACTTTTTTATTTAATATTTTTTCATTACTGTATAGTTATTTTATTACTTCTAACAATTCTACTTTATTCAAAATAAATATATACACAATATCCTTATTATTTTCACGATTGCAAATTTCATAGAAACATTTAGTTATGAAGTTTAAAGCTAAATTTGAAATATCATGTATAAATCAGCTCCTTATTTTTTCTAAGCTGCAAGTACTAATTGTTTACGTAATATAGCGAGTCATGTGACAGAGGGGTTAAGGAGAACGGACGATAGTGACATACGATAGTGAGTGGGACGGGGTCAAAAATATTGGGGGGAAAAGTGGGCATCATTTGTGGAAAACTATTTTTTTTATTTCCCTTAGTTGATTTCTCTTTGTTAATCCATCTCGATTTATAAGTTTAAAAGCAAAAATTAAGATCTACAAAACACTAATTCGACCTATTCTGCTTTATGGGAGTGAATGCTGGGTTGTAAACAAATTCATGAAAATAAATTGAATGGAAATATTAAGAAAAATATTTCATGCAGTTCATGAGAATAAGAGCTGGAGATCCTTGTTAACTTTAAAACTTACCAAAATACAATCAACTTTTTACGCCGTGATGGCTCAGGGGATAGTGCATTTGCCTTCCAATTAGATGAACCAGGTTCGAATCACAGCAATGGCTGGGATTCGAACCAGAATCTGGCTAACGAATTCCACATTTGGCTAGCACCGACCACAGTGCTGACATAAAATATCCTCAGTGGTAGATGGATCATGGGTTAGAGTCCCCTTGCCGTCAGGCTAACCGTGGAAGGTGTTCGTAGTTTTCCATTCCATATAACGCAAATGCTGATTAGTTCCATCAAAAAGTCCTCCACGAAGGCAAATTTCTCCCAATACTTGATCCAGGAGTTCCCTTGTCCTCTGGAGTGGGTTTAAATTTACAAGGCTCCGGAGCTGAACATTAGTAACCGTAAACTCAAAATTTGGTGTTGGTTGCTTAACGACGATTATAAAATGACCATATTTTAAATAAATGAAATAAAATGATAAATAATTGATAAAATAAAATGACCATATTTTGAGTCGCCGTGACTCTGAGAACAGGGCACTCACCTCTCGATGAGGAGACAAAGGTTCGAATCCTAGCTATAGCTGGTTGATATAAATTCTGCCTCCTGCTCTCACTGGCAGCAGTGTTTATGAAAAATATCCTCAGTGGCAGATCATGGCTCAGAATACCTTTGCTGTCGGACTAACCGTAGGAGGTTTTCGTGGTTTTCCTCTCCATGCAACGCAAAATGGGATAGTTTCCCCAAAGAGTCCTTCACGTAAGCTAGTTTGATCCAATGCTGGTTTTAGAAGTTTTCTTGTCTTTTAGATAGGGTTCAAAATTACAAGGTTACGGAGTTGAACATTAGTAGTCGTAAACCCCAAAAATTGGGTGGGCTTTTCAACGATGGTTATAAAATAAAATAAAATCAACCTGGTATTTTTAAAATCCTAAATGCAAGAGACTACGGTGGCTCTGACTTCTATTTTGATCTGATAATATAAACCTAGGAAAAAAGCTCACTTTTACTTATACCATGAAAAACAGAAAACGAGGAAGACCACCGAATAGGTGGCTTGACTCGCTGTAGAAGTCCTAAAAGAGGTATAAAATAAGAGAAGTCCTGTTGCGGATAGGACCGGGTTACAAAAACTACTTGGGACAGTCTTTACCTAAACCTGGATGTATTGCCAAGAAAGAAGATTCCTCTTTGTTTTAAAAATTTTTTAGTTTTCCGTACCAAGTAAGTAATTTTAACTTTGTGGTTGAGTATAACACCCATCACCTCACGCAGTCATATTTTGAATTCCAAAATAACAGGAAGAACTAAATTCTGCGTTTATGTTCAACGAAAAGTTAAATTAATATTTCACACCTTATTATATCTTTCTTTTCCCAATTTAAAACTGTGTTCGGCGGATTTTTTTTTAACGTGCTAATTATAAACCAATTTAACTAACACTGGAGGCGTTAGTGCGGAGATGCAAGTTCACAAATATTTCTAAAACAGTTCTTGTCTCACTCTGACAGACAAGATCTGTATATAATATCATTAATCTACGTCCTGTAAACATTTCCGACAAGCCACTTCTTTTTCTTAATTTAATTCATGGATACAAGATTCAATTCTTTCTCACTAAAAATACCTATCGACCTTCAATAGCATACAGAAATAACATTCCTTAAATTCGAAGCAAAACGGCGTGTAGAGCAGGAAAAATCACTTATAAGACCGAATGTGTAATCAAACGCAACGAATTGCAACGATGGAGACTTCTACAACTATTGGCACTTCCGCCATTTGCAATTTAGATGTCCAGAACATCTGATTCGAAAGTTCGATATGCCAAGGCGAGCAACGGTCATTACCATCAAAACAGAAAGTGTTCTACCCAATGCTTCGGCTATTGTTTCTGTGAAACCCTTGATTGGTTTCATTATCTTTTCTTCTTTTTTTTATATTAAAAAATATAATAACAGAAAAATGTAGATCACATTATTGAAAAGGATTGGATTCACGTTGTTTTCATAGTTTGTTTTGGTTTTTTGTTTCCCACAATTCCTTAATTGAAGCGGTCATCATTTGCGATGCACACCTAGAGGGCTTTTCTTTTGTTCGTTTTAAAGGATAGTAGTTACGGTTTATGTTAAAGATATTCCAAGTAATAGCTAGATTCTGAAATTCCGAATAATTTTAATTAGTTAGATAATTGTATTCATGTAGTGATATGTTTTCTTTCTTTTTTTATTTAATTGCATACACAGAAGCAGCAATTTGAAACTATTCCAAGCGTAGATTGTTATAATTTCGATTAAATTGTATAAAAATATTTACTTGAACTCGTTAGTAAAGGCAAAGTGTTTGAATTATTGCTTCCTTATGTTTACTTAGCTGGAACTTTTTTCTGTTCGTATAATTGAGTAATTATACAGGCTTTAAATATTTTTGTCTTTATTAAATAATAATACCGCTTTATTTATTATTTCATTCACTATTATGCTTTCAATTCAAAGAACAACTTCATTAAAAAATTTATCTGAAATATTTTTTCTTGATATACTTTAAACAAATATAACTTAAGAAAGAATGATAGCATGAAAAAGCAAGTTATTTTTATGAGAAATAAGAATAGAAAAAAATTACGCAATGATATCTAATGAATAAAATATTTTTTTAATAAACCTTTAAACTAGGGTATAAAAATAGCAACCGGTCAATCTACAGATTATTATTATTACATATGAATTAATTTTAGCAATAATTAAAAATCTCGTCTTACATAAAGTTCGTTTGATAAGTAAAAGTTTCAAGAGAAACTTAATTATATTCCTTGTTTCGATGGAAAACAATTTGTTATTCATATAATCTATTTATAAAATATTTTCAAAGCATGGTTTAAGCAAATGCTCAATTTAAGTTTAAGAAAAACTTCTTCAAAAATAGAAATTTTAACTTGTTGTGTTAATTAGTTATGTTAAATCTAGAATGCTTTCGGGTAGTAATTGCTATTGTACGAATACCAATTCTTTAATAATTAACTGCTCTCTTTACTCTCGACCAAATTCAACAGTTAAAGGGATGTAGATTAAGGGGTATTATAAATAAGCTAGGGGGCTTTTTTCTTTGTTGCTTGAGAGTTTAGAACGAATCTTAGACATTTTTTCTGTCGCTGATTTCAAATCTGCTATCAGTTTGTCTCTACAAACTACAGTTTTTAATCAATACGTTATATTCCTAGCTAATATTTTTTCTAAGTTTACTAGAGGGAATCCAAAAAATCCCCAATTCTCTGCTACGTAGGAAGTAGCATAAAAAAGGCGATAATACATTTAAGTTCACGATGCGATATGTCATGTTTTTTGCTTCAAGTGTTATTTTCAAAGGAACAGACAAGTGTGCATGTATGTACATAAACCTAAATGTTTTTTATTAACTTGGATATTAAGACAAAAATAAACTAAACTAAAATATCATTTTGAAAAAAAAATCTGTAGCTTTCCGAACAATGTGCAGCTTTCCTTTAAAATTTCCATTACCGAATTAGTTACGATATAGTAATTGCGTAAATATAACCAAAAAAAATTTTTGCCAGGGTAATATTTATTTAATTTTCAGAAATAAATAGTTGTTGGATATTTATTTTACTTTATATTTTTCGAAACAAGTTAAATACAAGGCTGTTAACCAATTAGAACGGCAGAACGTTATTTTATAAATTTGGCTTCTGACAAACAATACAATTCAGGCAAACAAAACAATAAACTTCTTCTGACAATTCAAACAATTCA